TACCAATGTGATGCGGTATGAATGATACTCCTCCAAATTAGCTGATAATGGAGAAGTGTTTTTAAACATTAATCAAATTTGTTTTTCTGGTGACAAACAAATCTTCTTATTGTAAATATCTGCATTTATTCAATGTGCACACTGCAGAAATATGTTTCAAATGCTTCTACGACAATTAACATCCACAAAATTGTCCTCCCAGAAAGCAAACAGATTTAATAATGTTAATAATGTCGTTTTTATTAACAAAATTGGCCTTGAATAATGATAATTTTGTTTAAATCTAATTGTCTTCCTGAATAAATTATAAATAAATATTAGTATCTTGGAAAGTTTGGGATAGAAATAAAATGAGCACTTCCAACCGGAACTCATCGGATCCGGCCGAAACCGGAACCGGAACAATGTTGCAAATTCCGGGTGGACCGGATTTCTGGTACATTTCTAATCTGATTTTAAATAATTCTTAGCCTTGTTTGTTTATTTTTATTAATCTTCAATTTGAAAGAAAAATATCTGGCTGCCATAAAGTAGCGAATCTAGCAGTATGGAATGGAGGACANCAAGAATAAATTTAAATTATACTTTGTATAAATTACATTGATACCACCAAAATTCGAAGCACCAACCTCACAATTATGAAACCAGCACATCCCCACTGAGCCACCAGCATTCTACAAATGATGGAAATTCTAAAGGTTTTAAGTGATTTGCAATTTTCAATCTCAATTTTCTCATTTAATTTTGAGTATTGCACCTTACTGCTTGGCACATGTCAGTTATTGGGGGTGCACTATAACCTGACTGAGTTTGACCAAAATCAGTAATCTCAATGTTATTCTTTCCCCTCTTAAGTCAATCATAAATGCTCAACCTCCCACAATGTTAGTATTAGCTAGTGTACTTCAGCATCTGAGGCAGAGACAACTACATCTATGCTTCAGATGCTGAAGTACAGTACAGTTCCACATATTCAAGACACCCTTCCAATCTCAGACATTTGGAAATCTTTAAGGCCAGCAGAAATAACTTAGCCATCAATTATAAAGACAGCCTGCAATATCCTGTTGAAGGTTTAGAGACACTGATTGAAATCCGATAAAATGAAACAAGTTTTGCAACATGATTTACACATCATCTAATCAAATGACTTTTTTTCTTTTTTAATTTACACATTCCTTTCGATAGCACATTCCACAATTGAATATACAGGTATACCTCGTCTTATGTCGGTAATTGGTTCCAGGAAAACGACTTAAGTCGAAAAACGACGTAAGTCGAATTTACTTGTCTCTGAATCTACTTGTCACTAGGCTAAACCATAAATTACTATTCCCAGTTCTGTATTTTATTTATTAATGCATTTTTAATAATATATGGTTAATAAGAATCTATTTTAAGCTTACAAACAAATAAATTTTAGTTTTTAATAGAGTACAGAAAAAAGTAATCTAAATTTACGAATGCATGTACTGTACTGTAAATACAGTACATACTTGTAAATGTATATATTTTAATATGATTTTATGTGCTTTAAACGCTTTTCTAGTGATATTACGACTTCAATATTTGTGGCGGACGGACGTAAAGTCGAATAAAATGACTTAAACTTGATTTTTATTTTTCCGTATACTTTTTTTACAAACGACATATAATCGGGAACGACGTAACTCGAAACGACGTAAGTCAAGGTATACCTGTATTATGTACCATTAATATGGTTGTTTAAGACAACTAAAAATGTTTGTTTTTACATTAAGATGTAAGTTTAAAATGATGGTTTTTTGGTTTATTGGTGTGTTTTGAGATATCTATGAGCTATTTTATATGCACTATATAGTTTTACTAAGTGACAATTGATATTTCTTAATCATTTTTCTATCTAGAATGATATTCTTTCTTTGAATTTTTAACAATCAAACCCTGTTAATACAAAGTTGAAAGGACTAAAAATTGGTACTTTGTATTAACAAAATTAATTGAACTTGTTAACATTAAAATGTCTAACCTTCCTTGTCCATGAAATCACAAATCTACTTCACATTAATGCAGATTTTACATAACCGATAACATAATAATGGAGCAACTAACTTATATTTGGAAATATAAGCCAATCCAAACTATCAGAAAATTTTGCTTTAATGTAAAAGATGTAAAGAAATAAACTGTCAAATTTTAAATTAATTGAAATTTCAACTGATTTGAAAGTTAGTTAAAATAATTATTTTCAATTGAAGCATTGAATGATTTCTGGCAATTAACATAAATTTAAATAAAATTGCACCTTTTCAAAATTAAAAATATAAGAAAACTGTATATTTTATCACTGTTAATATTTTAAATTATATATTATTACAAAGCAGATATAACATTATTACATAATTTAATTCAGACTATTCAGTCTAAATAAAAAAAATTTAAACATTACTTAAGAGAGCAAAATAAAATTTTACATTATAACTAAAATAAAACAGACTGAAATATAGGAGTCATTAATTTACTATCAGAAATACTTTAAAATCTTCCAACAAATCGTCAGCTGCTTTCTACTAAAACAACTTTCAAATCAAAACAAATTAAGATAATTTGAAATTTAATTTGATATAATAAATCACTAACTTTATGTATTTCAATCTGGTTTTTAAATCTGGACAAATAATTTTGTATATTTTTCTAATTAAAAATAATAATGGTATACTTTAATTTCATTTAACATACTATTCATAATGGAAATCTTTCCTAACAAATTGTCATGAAAATCATACAGAATTACAAATTCATAAGCCTGAATAAAATAGGATTGAAACTTAAAATCTGACAAACAAGGAAAAATTAACAGAATGCAAGATTTATAATTATACATATAATCAACAATTAAATACTAATTAATAATACAATAATTTACATGTCAGATTCTATTCCATTGCAAAATACAACAACACAGCATTAACATACACAAATACATAAAAATTTCAAATTTCTGAAACTTGTTCAGAGACTAAATTCATCCTAAAATATATACAAAAAAAAAGAAAAGCAATTTTTCTTAAGTAACCGCTTCATAATTTAATTGTTTTTTATTTATTCTACCACCACAAAGGAAAATTATAACTAAACTTATCAGTAATTTATTTAATGAGATGATTTTTAAAACCAATCTATGATAAACAAAATACTCATATTTCATTTATGAGTTACTTATAAATAGTCTAGCAATTATACTATGAAAACAACAAATCATACTTACTTCTTTTTTCTGCATCTCAGTTTTTAATCTATCTAAAAACAAAAACTGATTCTAAATCATCATCTGTTATTGTTTCTGCATAAACAAGCTCTAACATTTTCTAAATATTTTAAAATTTATAATGTTTGAATTTAGTCACTTTTATCATATTTAAAATCAACTGACTCATAGTTACTTCACGTTAACTGAAAAATAATTCTTATACTGTATTTTTCTGAAAATCTATGCATTGTTATATAACTTATATAGCTATCAGTTCCATATAATCATCATCATCATCACCATTAAATAATATAAGAATTTCATAATAAATTAGCATATTAATTCTTGTATATTTTAAATTGAACACACCTCTTAAATCTTAGTTTCCGAAAACAAAAAATTGCTACAGAATATTAGTATTTTTAAACATTTATATTGCTACATATTTTTATTCAGTGGATAATTGCAAATAAATTAATACAGTCAATGAATCTATTTTTGATAGGTTATTAAGTTACATAATAAAAATTTAATCAAAAAAACTCGTTTATTGAAAAAACAAAACATAACTATTTATTTAAATATACAAAAAGCAATTTTATATGTATTTTTATTGCCTGTTTTATGTATAGCACAAATTAAAAATCTGTTTGTCTTATGGAAAGTTGACTTAAAAAAAAAAAAAAAAGCAATTTCTACAGAAAAATAATGTAAAAACTATTTTCATTTTAATAATAAAACAGTTTATTATTTTAATGACAGTAAATTTATATCAAATATCAGTTTTAATCGTCTTGTTGTATTTTAAAAACACACAAAAAAAATCATCATGTTAATTTTTTTAACAACTTTGACAGAACAGACTGTCAATTTAATACCGTTCATTAATAAACATTTGCTACTTCGAACGGACAAAAATACTATGCCACGTTAACAGATGGAAACTTATCCGCAACTGATTATGTGAAATAAATAACGAATCTTCCGTTTATGTATTTTAAAAATGAATAAATAATTTTATTAATATTTTACAATCGATTTTCTTTTCGTTTCCGATTAAAATAAAACGGAAAGTGCAATAACCTTTTTATTTTATCCGTAAGTCGAAAGAAAATATTCGTATTTTTATTTTCGTTATCGGAAGAACTCGTCTACGAGAGTAGAAATGTTATTTTTTTTTTTCCATAAACGCATCGGAGAAAATTTCATCGAACGGAAATAAACAAACGAGACGATGTAACGCCGTCAAAATCATTATCACCTATCAGTCGTTTATATCAACTATCGTCGAAACAGACATTCATTTCGCTTTTAAACGCGACGGGAGAAATAAATGACAAATGCGCGACGATTACACATCGGTTGTCTATCCACCTTGACATCTGTTGCTACGTTAGTAAATCTGCTAGACGACACTCTTCGATAAAACTGCATTCTGCTTTGTGACTTCTTTTATCCGAATTTTCCTGCATATAAATGCACATCCTGGTCATAGAGTCGCGTATTTCCAACCAGGAAATTGTAATGAAAATGCTCAACGACGAACATTACTCCTCTCTCACCGACTAGAGATAATCCATATGTTGGATGATAATTACGGTAAATAATTCGATTCGACGATAAATAACACTCTTGACAATTAAACGCTTTACATTTCGATTATTTTAACTCCTCTTCTCGTCAAAATCCGATTAGTCGCTCGAAAAAACAACAATAATAATAATAATAATAATATCCGTTTTTACTATTGTTTTGTAAATTGTCGTCTTACCTTCTGTATAATAAAACACCTCGGACTATAAGCGCAACATATGTAAGTCCCGCGAGAATCAAAGCTAGAATTTGGTGAAGAAGACCAATCGTTCCAACGTTGAGGTACGGGAAATCGGGCCGGCCCGCCTAACCAGGCCCGAGTTGACTCCGCTACGCATCGATGACAATATCCGAACATTTCGATTCGGCCGGTTCGCACATATTGTAGCACATCGACACTCGACCGACGGCGGCCCAACGTCGCTACTGCCCTAGCGACGCCTACCTCGCACACTAATACTCATCGTGCCCACGCATCGGCGAACCTTTCAGCTAGCAGGAAGACCCGTGTTCTAACGCTCGAACGAGGTCTTCCGCCTCTTATTTAGCCTCTGGCATTATCCGACTAAGACCGATGTCATACGAAGCGAATAGATAATTATTATTCGGTTTTGATAAAAATCGATTTAATGTGACATAAAACGAGCCAGATGTTTACGTCAAAAACTCGAACGACCCGCTAACCTTTATCCAGACTTTAAGGAACGGGTTTTAACCAGCGAGCAAAAAAAAAAATAAAAAAGAAAAAACTTTCGAATATTTAAATATCACGTGTACATATATCTCAGACAATCGAAACTCGTTTCCTTAGTATTTTTAAACTTTCCACTGGAGTTTGTTCTGTAACAAGCGCATTTTCCGCGCTACTCGTTTACATTTGACAAAAACTGATTGAAAATTCCGTAAATATCTCAATCGCGCATATTAAATATATTTAAATGAACTAATCGACACTGAATTTCTACTATTCCAGTTAGACGACATACTTGCATACTATAACAGAAAAAAAAATAATAATAATTAAAAAGTTCTATTAAGAGGTGACGGTACGATGTATAAAATTTCCCCGTTAATGATCCTTCACTTAATTAAAAATATAGCAAAACAAATCTCGAAAAATAACAGAAAGAAATATCGATCAATCACAAAATTTGACTATAAATGACATATGCATTTATCAAACGAATCATTATGCTAGAACATCGTTCTTCCGTGACTACGACTTAACTAAATATATAGAACGTCGTTTATGCTCTAGCTAGTTATGTTTTTTATATAAATCTTACACTATTCATTTTTATTATTATACTAATTAATAAATTAATTAATCTGGAATTTTTTTTTATTAATCTTAATTTACTAAATTTTGTAGGGTTAATCGATGAAGAAATCAAATACCATATATTTCTGATTTCCTATAATAATAATAAAATAAACAATTATAAAACGGGGTTCTTTCCGAATAACCTATACTACAGGTAAATCAGTCAAATGTCACTTGCAGGAATGGAAAATGGCACTTTTCCAACACATCGCTGAAGAAACAACCAAGGACACTTTTGTATATTTTTCTATTATAAACTGTTCAATAAATTAAAAGTTGATCATTTCATTCGTTTTAACCAATATAATTACTATGAATCATTTTAATTATTATTAAGATCTATATAAACAGTGAATTTTAAAATAAAAGTATTTCTATTATTATAAAAGTTACTTTTGAAATTTTTTTTCTTCTAGCTATGTATTTTTTAAATTATACACACCAAATAATCTTAGCAGTGTCTAATATTTATGTAGTTTAATACTGCCAACAATATAAATATGATGTTTATTATGATAATGTTAATTTTTTAATAAAAAATTAGCTTTCTTAAATATAATAAATAGTCAAATACAATAGTCCTTAAAACAAATTACACGCATACTTATAAATATATAACCTGTGTGTAATTTGTTTTGAGTATAATATTCAGTTTTAATATAATATTGAATATATTAATATATATATTTGTTTTGATTTATCGGCTCTTAATATGGTAAGTTTGTTATATTTCAAAAAATTATTTAATTATCTTTTTATTGGATTAAAAAATTTAATTGTTGGAACCAAAATATAATTTCTTTATTTCTTTCATACATACTGTATATTTTTGTAGTTCTTTTGCAATCTTATTTTTTAAATTTGTTTTCTGTTCATTTTCATTCTAATATCTAATATTTGATATTGCTTGAAGATAAAATTGAAGATTTACTAAAGAATGATTATGTTGAACATAGTAAGTAAATTAAAGTAACGATTGATATTTGAGAACTAATTATTTGTTCACAAATATCAATCATTGCTTTAATTTACTTACTATGTTACACGAATACAAGAATTGAAGAAAAATAAAGTGAAACAAATACACAAGCATACAGTATATACTAACAATATAATGAAAGAATTATCCAATACCTACAATACACTTATCTCATGATTCCTTGTTTCTATCATCAAGTATTGAAGTATAATTAACTATTCAGTTAGTATTATTTTAGTCTAATCGCAATAAGCACTAACTGCCATTAGCATCTAGTATTAGTAATGTAAACTAACTTCTTCACTATTCAAGAAAAAGAAATCTGTTATAAAAATATATTCAAAAACTAAATATTCCAATTATTATAGCTACAACCAACAGACTGCCGAAAATCTATCGGGCTAGTTTTATGCTACTTATTATTTTTATAAATTCACAATAATTTGCCTCATTTTATAAAACTTCAACTCCATGTTATACAAATCTAAGTAAATAATGTTAAAATAATGTTAGAACAATTCATCACAAAATCAACAAAACACAGCTAAAATTATATTAAAATACAAATCTTAAAATTATAATAATCCAAACAAAAACAGCTGAGATGTAAAAAAAAATTTCAAGTAAAAAATTATGACAATTTAGACAACAATTAATTCTTTTTCTTAGGAGTTTTTCTCTCATAAAGATAGGCTTGGCACTTTGAAACAGTAGTATCCACAAGTTTTTTATTATTGTTTCTTACATTTCACTTTGAAGCACCAAGCTTTTCTTTATGAGAGAAAAACTCCTAAAAAAATTTTGACTGTCATTTAAATTCTCATTATTTTTTACTTGGTGTAATTTTTTACATCTCAAATGTTTTTGTTTGGATATCAATTGGTTTTTGGTTAATGATTGCGTTACTTCAAGACCTAAAATGATGACGTACAGTTTTGTCAGAACTTGACAATGACCACCAACTGAGCACTTCACAGTTTAGTAAAATTTTTATAAAAAGTTTAATTCACATAAATTTGAGCTTTTGTTATTCTGAATAACATTTTGAATAGAAATCATTTGTTTCAAAGAACTTTTATCCTTTACAAGCACAAAATTAAGCTATAAAAGTAAAATGGTTGTATGGGGAGCCCCTGTGAACTTTGACTTATTGACCCAAAAGATTTGCAAGCACATGATAATAAGGAAAACTTAAGTTTCAAATTTGAGCTTTCTAGACCCAGTAGATTTTTTCTCTAGAAGTATCTGCAGTGCTGGATGACGAAAAGAAGAAAATAGAGGTTTTTTTTTTTTGGCAATTTTTGAACTTTTCAATTGCTTATATTTCAGCAACTCCTTTAGAGAAAAACCTGAAATTTTACATTCTATCTAAGAAAACGAGTATCTTTCAAACAAAATATTCAGAATTACTGCATTTTGGGGAGGAAAAATTAACCACTGAAAACTGACAACTCTGATTCCTGTATGTATAGTCACAGTGTGTGACTTTTTCACTTGGCATAGAATTACCATCATGCCTCTCATTAAATGTTCTTTTTATCAGCATGTTTCACTAAACATTTTTCTTTCTGTTTTATTTTTGTCAACATATTCTTCCACAATTCTGATAATTCTTCTGCACAGTTGTAATTTATATCACGATCCAGGTCCATCATGTATAAATTATAAATACTTGTTCCAAAGCTCTCAATTTTTGTAAATTGAGTTTATATAGAAGCTAAAATTATGTCAGCCCGATTTAAAGAAATTTAGAAATGATAATTTTGATAGGGAAGATGTTACCAACCAACTTTATATCTGCTAGCATATTGTTTAATTTTACATGATTTGCTTTGTTAACGTTATGTTCTAAAAAAATTACATATTCTTATATCATTTGTTTCATTTTGTTTATTGCAACTCTTAAAGTGCTATCTGGTTTGTTGATGTAATTTTTGTTTGACATGAGAATTTTGTAAAATTCAATATACATTATCTATGTTCCAAAAAATCAGTTCTAAGTAAAAACATCTTTGTAAATATGAAAAACATTCTACTTTGCTTATATTTTGTGTGTACTAATTAACACCAAATACTAAACACCAATTAATTGTTGCCAGCCTGATACATTATTAAATATTATTGTTACTACAATATAAAAATTTCAATCAATAATGAAAATATCAAAAATTGTGACAAATGATATTTTCACCTCTATATATATAAAAATGTCTTAAGTTTACACAAGAATTTGTGAAATAAAATGTAACAGTTTTTAACAACCTAATTTTTAAAAAAATTAGTGTTATATTGTGCCTCTGAAATGAAGCAATAAATTTCTTTACATCAAACATTTTAAATTCACGGTCCACATGCAGCCCATAACGATTATTTCTGCAGCCCAACCATTATGACGACAGTAAGAAATGTTTTAATAAACATTTCATAACTTAACTTTTGCAATATAATGTTATACATATTTATTAATAACAAACTATAACGTTTGCCAATGACTGATTACTATAATTGTGTGCATCCATTTCCCTTAAGCACCTTACATGCAGGCATGCCATTTCCCCCCACTAATACTTATATTATCAGTGAATATTTTAGTTGCCAACTTACATACCACTATCATGTGCCAATGCCACATTATTAGTCTTATACTGACTGTTAGGTGTGCACAACAGGAAATATTTCCCTTTCAGAAAAGAAGAAAAATAGCTTTATTTATGTTATGCTTATTAATTTGTGCAGTTATTCACTGTCTGGTGAGTTAAAAAATAATAGTTTTTTTTAACATTATTAAAATATTCTATTATTTTATGTTAATGATTACTAACTTATTTCAGCCTTTTGTATTCAGCATCTCTATCGAAACCAAGTGGTAGTAAAAATAAATGAAAAATTGCTGATGAACATCAAAATCTCCAAGAAAAGTGGAAATTGGAGTATTTCTGCTATGAAATAAAAAATAAAATAATCTGCTTGATATGTAATAACGCTATTAGTGTTCCAAAGTTATACAACATTAATTGTCACTATGAACAACATAAATCAAAATATGAAAGATATGAGAGACTAATGAGACAAGAAAAGTTGAAAGAGCTCGAATTGGGACTGAAAAAACAAGAGTTCATGTTTACTAATGTATCACAAGAATGTGAATCGGCAGTACATGCAAGCTACATCTTGTCAGAGTTGATAGCTAAACACTCAAAACCTTTGACTGAAGGTGATTTCATCAAGGAATGTCTAATTAAAGCTGAAGAAATTATTTGTCCTGGAAATGTGAAAGCTTTTCAAGCAATCTCTTTGTCTCGAAATACAGCTGCAAAAGGATTTACCAAT